GAGAGAGAGAGAGTGTGTGTGTGTGTGTGTGTGTGTTTTGTGTAAAGACTGTGTTGGTCCGCCAGAGGGCGCCAGCGCGGGTTCATTATTTCTATCATTAGCACTCAGAAGGTAAGAGGAGCTTCTGCTCAACATCATTAGTTCTTATTAACATTAAGATTCACATCCACATCTAATGGCTTTATTTACACGCTTTCAGCTCGAAGCTGTTCTGTGCTGTTATATGTCCGTGTTTTAATCGCTTGGTTTGCGCTGCTGAGGGTTGGTCTGCTTTAGCGCGGTTAGCTGGACTGGCTAATCATGACTCGGTCCCGGACAGATTAATTATCATCTTGCGTCTGAATGTCATGTTTTGATTTCATGCCGCAAAGCCAGTGCGGGTTTAATGAAGCTGATGTTTAGATCTGCTGATTTGAGCTGTTCGTGTGCACAGCTAGTCGAGCTAACAGCACCTGACAGGAGATTTATTCGTTGTTTTAATATTTTATATAATTCAAATCAAAGAGTCTTACTGAATAAATGACTCTAGTTTACGGTCATGTGTCTTCAGGATGAAAACAGACACTAGTTTAGTTTGTTCTGCCATGATTTCTAATATCTCAACAAAAAGACATTTCTTGATTATATAGATTAATACATTTTATTATTGAAAACAGACGTGTGTGTTTGTGTGTGTGTGTGTGTGTGTGTGTGTGTGAGAGTGAGAGTGTGTGTAAGAGTGAGTGAGTGAGTGAGTGAGTGAGTGAGTGAGTGAGTGAGTGAGTGAGTGAGTGAGTGAGTGAGTGAGTGAGTGAGTGAGTGAGTGAGTGAGTGAGTGAGTGAGTGAGTGAGTGAGTGAGTGAGTGAGTGAGTGAGTGAGTGAGTGAGTGAGTGAGTGAGTGAGTGAGTGAGTGAGTGAGTGAGTGAGTGAGTGAGTGAGTGAGTGAGTGAGTGAGTGAGTGAGTGAGTGAGTGAGTGAGTGAGTGAGTGAGTGAGTGAGTGAGTGAGTGAGTGAGTGAGTGAGTGAGTGAGTGAGTGAGTGAGTGAGTGAGTGAGTGAGTGAGTGAGTGAGTGAGTGAGTGAGTGAGTGAGTGAGTGAGTGAGTGAGTGAGTGAGTGAGTGAGTGAGTGAGTGAGTGAGTGAGTGAGTGAGTGAGTGAGTGAGTGAGTGAGTGAGTGAGTGAGTGAGTGAGTGAGTGAGTGAGTGAGTGAGTGAGTGAGTGAGTGAGTGAGTGAGTGAGTGAGTGAGTGAGTGAGTGAGTGAGTGAGTGAGTGAGTGAGTGAGTGAGTGAGTGAGTGAGTGAGTGAGTGAGTGAGTGAGTGAGTGAGTGAGTGAGTGAGTGAGTGAGTGAGTGAGTGAGTGAGTGAGTGAGTGAGTGAGTGAGTGAGTGAGTGAGTGAGTGAGTGAGTGAGTGAGTGAGTGAGTGAGTGAGTGAGTGAGTGAGTGAGTGAGTGAGTGAGTGAGTGAGTGAGTGAGTGAGTGAGTGAGTGAGTGAGTGAGTGAGTGAGTGAGTGAGTGAGTGAGTGAGTGAGTGAGTGAGTGAGTGAGTGAGTGAGTGAGTGAGTGAGTGAGTGAGTGAGTGAGTGAGTGAGTGAGTGAGTGAGTGAGTGAGTGAGTGAGTGAGTGAGTGAGTGAGTGAGTGAGTGAGTGAGTGAGTGAGTGAGTGAGTGAGTGAGTGAGTGAGTGAGTGAGTGAGTGAGTGAGTGAGTGAGTGAGTGAGTGAGTGAGTGAGTGAGTGAGTGAGTGAGTGAGTGAGTGAGTGAGTGAGTGAGTGAGTGAGTGAGTGAGTGAGTGAGTGAGTGAGTGAGTGAGTGAGTGAGTGAGTGAGTGAGTGAGTGAGTGAGTGAGTGAGTGAGTGAGTGAGTGAGTGAGTGAGTGAGTGAGTGAGTGAGTGAGTGAGTGAGTGAGTGAGTGAGTGAGTGAGTGAGTGAGTGAGTGAGTGAGTGAGTGAGTGAGTGAGTGAGTGAGTGAGTGAGTGAGTGAGTGAGTGAGTGAGTGAGTGAGTGAGTGAGTGAGTGAGTGAGTGAGTGAGTGAGTGAGTGAGTGAGTGAGTGAGTGAGTGAGTGAGTGAGTGAGTGAGTGAGTGAGTGAGTGAGTGAGTGAGTGAGTGAGTGAGTGAGTGAGTGAGTGAGTGAGTGAGTGAGTGAGTGAGTGAGTGAGTGAGTGAGTGAGTGAGTGAGTGAGTGAGTGAGTGAGTGAGTGAGTGAGTGAGTGAGTGAGTGAGTGAGTGAGTGAGTGAGTGAGTGAGTGAGTGAGTGAGTGAGTGAGTGAGTGAGTGAGTGAGTGAGTGAGTGAGTGAGTGAGTGAGTGAGTGAGTGAGTGAGTGAGTGAGTGAGTGAGTGAGTGAGTGAGTGAGTGAGTGAGTGAGTGAGTGAGTGAGTGAGTGAGTGAGTGAGTGAGTGAGTGAGTGAGTGAGTGAGTGAGTGAGTGAGTGAGTGAGTGTGTGTGTGTGTTGATGGATGAAGCGGACTGTGATTGGCATGTCTTATGAATCACATTAAAGCTGTTGAGATTCTGAAATAAAGAGGTTTAACTCTGTTAACCCTTCATGAAATCAAATATCATTGTTTTAAACTGCAGTGATTGGCCGTGTCTCTATATATAACCTGTCATTTAAAGGTTAAAGGTCTTTCTCTGGATGTGTCCCAAACCTAGTTAGTCGCCACCTACATAGGCAGCAGATTTGGACACGAGGGTCATGTTCTCAGAAGGTTCCTTCATTCTGATGCTTCGCATGTCGGCAGCTCGCTGTGTTTTGAGACGCAGCCATGTGTCATTTGAGACGCTGATGATGGACTGTTGTGTTTCTCTAAATATATTCTGGCATGTGCCTCCAGAGATATGACTATATATTTATACTCTGCAGAGCTGCTCAAACTCTGATAGCACGAGACTCGCATTGTGTTTGATGAACGTGTGTGATCATCTAGAGTTCACACACAAAACATCAGGCCTGCTTAAAACAATTCAAATGAGCTGAAAATATCCTCACCCTCAGGTCTATCCCAGATCAGGATGAGTTTGTTTCTTCATCAGGTTTGTAGAAATGTAGCATTGCATCAGTGTCTCAGCAATGGATGCTCTGCAGTGAATGGGTGCCGTCAGAATGAGAGCTGATAAAAACATCACAATAATCAACACCCATACAGTCCATCAGTTAACATCTGGAGAAGACAAAAGCTGAAACTAATCCAGCATTAAGATGTTAATAGTAACATTAATAATCCATAATAACTCTTCCTCCAGTGAGTCAGTGTTCTGGTGTGAATCAGGAGAGAAATCTGCACAGATCAAGCAGCGTTTAAACAGCTCTAAACTAATATGTGGCTGGATTTTGATGTGAGAGACAACAGCAGATGCACTTTTTCCCTGGAGGAAGTGTTATTATGGATTATGGACTCTATGGTATTTTATCCAGACAATATAACATCAGACACCATCATCATAACCTAAACTGGCTGATCAGGACCTGATGGATAAATGCATGAAACACTGATTTAAGTACAAGTAAAAAAGAGAACAGTTTGAGCTGAAAGGATATTAAAGTCAAGTCACATTTATTTCTATTGTGTCAGTAGTTCTCTCTGATCTCTGATTGCAATTTTTGTTTCGATTCTGAAAACTGTTCTGGTGCGACGCGTGACCAAGTGCTGTGAGCAGCCATGCGCCGGCGTTCCCCGTAAAGGATGTCACAAACCAAATAACAGAAACGCCGCCCTGCCTCTTTAATTACTGAGCACGTTGTTTCCCATGACGCGCACTCCACAGACACGCCACAAGCTCATTAATTTACATTTAGACATTTAGCAGACGCTTTTATCCAAAGCGACTTACAAATGAGGACAACAGAAGCAATCAAAATCAAAAGAGCAGTGATACGCAAGTGCTATAGCAAGGCTCAGTTAGCTTAACGCAGCACACGCAGCAAGGTTTTTAAAAAAATCATATAATAAATAAAAAGAAAACAGATAGAATAGAAAAAGAATAGAGCATGCTAGTGTTAGAAGCCTTTTGTGCTTTTGTTAATCAGAAGAAGTCAGAATTATAATTGTATAATAAATAAAAAGAAAAATAGAAAGATTTAGGGAAATGAACAAGTGCTTGGCCCTCAAGGGACTATTTGGCCAACCAGCTTATTCCTGCTTGAAAAGCATAATGTTATTGATGATAGTGTAAAAAACAAACGTTGAAGCACATGTGATTGATGGAATAGCATTACTCAACATTACTTACTACCTTACAGCAACACTACATTCAATGAAGGTAAAATAGTGAAGAATAAATAATAATAGTTCATTTAAACAGAACCGGGAATCGTAAATTTCTTGCAATACCCAACCCTAGTGTCAGTAGTTCTCTCTGATTGGTCGTTCTCTCTCTGTGTGTCAGTAGTTCTCTCTGATTGGTCGTTCTCTCTCTGTGTGTCAGTAGTTCCCTCTCTGTGTGTCAGTAGTTCTCTCTCTGTGTGTAAGTAGTCTTCTCTGCTTGGTCGTTCTCTA